GCGTACGATCGTCCGCCATCTTGACCGCCGTAGGTTTGGCTTCCTTCGAACTTGTGCACCAAGGCCGACTCTTTGTATAAAGAACTGGCTCAGGAAATTGTGAGTCACGCCTCTATCCAACAAAGCGTTGCAGGACGCTTGCCCAATTTGGATGCGGACATAAAGGATCGGTGCGTTGTTGTCATCGTACCGCTGCGTGCGAAACTCGTGGGCCACCTTGTTGATTTACGCAAGGAGGTCCCCCACCACAGCTTCGTCATCCGTTGGCGAAGTTGGTGGTGCATAGAAGGAAAAATACGTGTGCAAATGGACAAATAGTGTTGCGCATTGCGGTCCCGGTGGAAGGGAAAGGAAGTCATTCAAAATCCTCGGGTGACAACGGGTCTACGCCGAACTCGCGTGCCAAATCCCTTGAAGAACCACTTGAAGACGATGAAATGGCGCCACTTCCGGATAAAGATGAAACCGTGCACACACCTTGTCCTTGAGCTAGATTACCCAGTGACGGAACGAGCCGGGCAGCTTAGTTCTCGTAAGAATAGAGAAGAGGACTTTAGACTTTCGCTTGTGCCACAAAACTAAGGGACGTCGCTCGCGAACCGGTTCCGAAGACGTTGAGAGTGCAGCCGTATCACGCCCGACTGTGCTCACTTTCCCGGAAGGGACTTTCCCATGGCTTTTGTGGGACAGCCTGCGGTGTCGTGTGCATCACTGTTGCACCACAAACAATATCGGTACCTCGTACAAATCTTGTGAGATGCCGTAATTGAGCCAAGGTTTTGGGCTGTTGTGCCGGGCCCGGGGGATGAACTGGTGCTTGTCTTTGATTTGCCGCATTCTCGACCTTTGGCTGTGTAACAAGGCGGAGACAGGGCAGCGAGGCTGGGAGAGGGAGGGAGAGTGAGAGCACACAAACACACACACTCAACTCGACGCGGACTCGACACTACTCGACGAACGCAGTCACAAAGTGGCAAAGTCGTAAAGTCGCAGTCTTGGATTCACAATATCGAAGCATAGTCACACTGAACACAAGCAATGAGGCGGAAAACTGGTTTCCCGTATTGGGCTTGAGTCCGATCTTAAGTATCGGACTCAAGTTCAGTCCCGAGGGCAGGGCAGCGAGGCTGGGAGAGGGAGGGAGAGTGAGAGTAAACACACACTCACTCAACTCGACGCAGACTCGAAACTACTCGACGGACGCAGGCACAAAGTGGCAAAGTGGCAAAGTCGCAAAGTCGCATTCTTGGATTCCTGAACACAATGTCGAAGCATAGTCATACTGAACACAATGTCGAAGCATAGTCATTCCTGAACACTAAACACAAGCAATGAGGCGGAAAACTGGTTTCGCGTATTGGGCTTGAGTCCGGTCTTAAGTACCGGACTCAAGTTCAGTCCCGAGGGCAGAAGTGCAAATTGCCTCAGTGCTGAACTGAAAATCGAAGGTCTGAGTTTGGCACAAAGTGGCAAAGTCGCAAAGTCGCAGCCTTCCTGAACACAATGTCGAAGTACAGTCACACTGAACTCGAGCAATGAGGCGGAAAACTGGTTTCCCGTATTGGGCTTGAGTCCGGTCTTAAGTACCGGACTCATGTTCAGTCCCGAGGGCAGAAGTGCAAATTGCCTCAGGGCTAAACTGAAAATCGAAGGTCTGAGTCTGGGCTCCAGAATGCCGGATGGCGCCAAGTATCGAAATCCGAAAGTGCCAAAAGAGGAATTTGAGAATGGGCGCCAACTGCAGAGGGCGGCCTGAGAACAAAGACCCAAAAATGAAATAGCAGTCTGGCGGGTGGTAACTCGCGGACCAGGAATCGAGCCCTGGCTGAGTCCGTAACAATATCCCCTCGCTCTGGAAGGCAACGTCCCGACTGCCAAAGACCTGATGAACAAGGGCTGATCAACTGGCAGAAAAGGATAGGGGGAGTAATGCAAGTGACAGGGTTATCTTATTGATGTTCTACAAGTGTGGAGGTACCAATGTTCAGGTAAGAGGGTAGTTGGGGTGCTACAAGGTTGAAGTAACAGGTAACAGGGCAATACTATTGATGTTCTACGGGGATGAGGGAATCAATGATCAAGTAACAGGGTAATCCTATTGAGGTTCTACAAGTGCGAGGGTAGCAATGTTTAGGTAACAGGGTAATCCTATTGAAGTTCTACAAGGTTGAGGGTAGCAATGTTCAAGTAACAAGGTGATCCTATTGAGGTTCTGCAAGTAACGGGGCAGTCCTATTGATGTTCTACAAGGTTATAGGTTGTCAGGTTTGAGAAAAAGAAAAAGAAAAATAGTCTGATCAATGCTCAAGGGCTGGTGTGTCTGAGGAATCCAGGGAAAACAAAGTCTCAGGTCTGTAACAAAGTGTCAAAATGCGAAAATTGTCTCGAAGAAGGTCTTGATCAGATCTAGGACAGGTGAGAGAACTGATCTTCAGCAGCTGCAACAGGTAGTTTGTCGAATGTCCAAGCTGCGGGAAAGCGAAGTAGGAGTACAAGTGTCCAAGTCCAAGTGTTGGAGTGTGTCCGGTTCATGAACTGGAAGGAGGTCCGATCCAGTAGCAACGAAATCGCAAACTGATGCAAAGGTCCAGATCACATGTCGCTTCTCAGTAAGTCCGCGAGTCCAGATGCCGGTCAAGGAAACAGCGTGGTGGCCAAACCAGCTGCATTATCTTCATGATCATGAGGCAGCAGGCTATCGTCCTCGTGCGCTTGCCATTGGATCGTTTATCATCAGCGTCACGTATGTCCACAACGATTGGTCAAGAGAGACAAAGAGTGTGGTAGAGGACAAATGGGAAGGAGTTAGGGTGAGGCAAGGGTTGACCAGACAGGAAGGACTTAGGTTGAGTCAAGGGTGGATCAGATAGTGAGAGATCAACATAAAGGGTAGGGGTTAGGCTGGGTTCAAGTGTGGTGTGTGTAGAGTAGGTATGTACAGGTCAAGGCATAGGCAAGTAGATAGCTATGAGATAGCGTGGGTACGGTCATAGGCACGAACGAGTTTCATGGTGTTCTTTAGATTTGCAAGGGGTTCCCATGTTGATTCTTCGTCTTGGTATCCAGTTCATTTTACTTCGTATTCTGTGATAGGCTCGGAGTGGTTGGATACTTGAGTTGTTCTATGGTCGATGATTGACTCCACAAAGAATTCAGGACCGGTGGGAAGCATGATAGGTGCTGGACGAGGATGAGGGCGATCAGAGAACTGAGGAGGTGATTCATGAAATTCTTTCAAGTATTCTACATGGAAGACAGGATGAATGCGGTTCATTAGGAGGGAGTTGGAGCTTGTAATTTACAGCGGTTGTTTTTTCAATGATGGGGAATGGACCGAGCCACTTGTTCGAGAGTTTCTTGGACAAGCCTTGTTCGGGATCAAAGCGTTTCGCGGAGAGCCAGACTTCGTCCCCAACAAGGAAAGTGACGTCACAACGATGTTTGTTCGTTTGCTTGGTTTGTTGTTCCCGAGTTCGTTGAACAAATTCGGTGGTTTTCTTAAAGTAAACAAGTGGACGCGCCGCAGCCACGCTGCGGCAGAGGAGAGGGAC